GCCACTCAACAAACATTACTAGCTGAAGGTTGAAAAGCATTAAACGTGGTCAAACCCAGTCATGGTATCTGTTCATGATGTTATTGACCGTTAAAATGAGTCACGAAAATAGATATAGCTTGTGTGACTGAATTTTTCAGGAGGTCTATGATCGATAGTTGAAAAATGATCATAAGGGGAATGTTTTTATTACTTATCAGCAATTAAATTTGGGAGGTTATATATTTCCATTAATTTGTATTCCTTCGTTACAATCATATTTATCCACCGTAGTATTATTGTGTTTTTTAGCTTATTTTTCTTTCTATTTCTCTCTTCTTCCTTTTCATATGTATTTAAAGAGTGCAGGAACTTAAAGTGATACACATCTATGCAGATTTCTTCATCAGTCAACAACTCACATGAATCATCATTCCTTGTTAACTAGATAAAGGTGATTTGAGTATTTAACGATCATTTGATTTAATCCAAAGCAGTTAGCTTGATTTTATGTAACACAAACCAGTTAGGTTGTTAAATCACTGATCACTTCCATCTCAGATAAGAAAAGCAGATTCCTAGTGTTAAGCTTTTTAACTTAGCTAACTAGCCTGATTTATTGATATGATTGACTGTTAACTAATGGTATCAGTCAATTATACATTGTTGTATGATTTTTCTGCCAACAAACTTGATGTCACTTGCGATGTCATTCAGTGTTATTTAACATTCGTTAGATTTTCAAAGTAAATCAAAGCTGCAGTTCACCTTAGAACAATTTATTATTATTGTTTCCCTTAATTCCTAGAAGAAAATAGGGCTTCAGACACACGTTTCCATTGCGTTTGGTTCTCCACCAACGTTTTCACCTGGCTCCACGTCTGCCACATGCTTTCATCTCCTCCTCTTATGCCTCCTCCATGTCACCCTAGCACTCGCCGCTTCCCATTTGGGTTCCACTCGAGCAATGGCCTGGCATGTGATGTCACTTGATGGTTTTCTCAGAGTATGGCCAATCCACCTCCACTTTTTCCTGCATATTTGTTGCACAATTGGTACCTCAGAACAAGCACTCCAAAAATATGTGGTTTAATTCATTGTACACATATAAGTAGATTGTTTTGCAATTTTCAATTCTTATAGCTAGTTTTAGTCCGTAAAGAAGTAAGATACCCCGTTGTATCCTTTAATCTTTTTTTCTATCTTAGGCATTAGAAGTCATTCGGCAAGATAAGTTTTATGTTAGATTAGTGCAGATACTTATCTGAAGACATCTGTCAAAAAATAAGACCCGTAAAGTTTAAAATTTACTTATCTCATTTGTTCAAATTCGTGTTCATTATCATATGACATCGCAAAATAATTATCAAATCAACATATTCAGTTGAATGTTAAAGATTAGAATCTTATTAAGTAACAGTAAGCATGTGCTTCTGTATTTATTTGAATATTTATAGAATATAATTTTATCCAATGTGTAAAAGTAAATCTCAGCCCCTTTGTTTCCGAGCTATGATTTTCAAACTGACAATGTCTACTTCAGAATAACCAACTGGGAAGTACTTGAAATACTAAGATATTAATTAAAATTCATAGTTTGGGTGTGTAAAAGTAGATGAAATAACTGAGTATTTGTTTTTCTTCCTTTTTGTGCATCATCTATAAACACATATACTTGTATACTGGTTTCTTTCACTATTGTGTACTATGTTTTTGGAAATTCCTCTCATGTCATTGTTTTTTCTGGTCAGTGGTTCTTTAAGTTTATGCTTTCCATTCATGTATACATACGTACTATTATAATGAATAATAGAGGATTTTAACCATAAAGCATAGTTAGATCTCTTCCTTTTATAGTAACAAACAGGTCAACAAATTAAATGCCATTCTCTCCACTATATACTTATAAACATATTATTATTCAAGTATAATCCATTCATTTTACCGACCCTTTCCTCGTTTAAAACATCCATGTATACGTATTGTTATCAATGGTGAAAAATATGATGTTCGATGCTTAAAAATTACCAATCCAAAGAATAAATAAACATAGACACTAGGATGTCATTTTTCTTTGTGCACTGCATTATTCAAATAGAGTAAGATGAGATCCAAAATTCACTTTAAAATAACCTTTACTCAGTGTTTATCCCACAATGAATAATAAAGTAATTTGGCTGTAGTATTTTTTTCTTCTGGCTTCACTAAATCTAAAGCATTTTCAAGTAAGGCATTTAAAAATAGTATAGTAAATTAAATAAAAACAAATCATTAGGTTGATCTTGCTGCCTTGGGTGATAAAATACTTCAGCTAAGTTAGATAACTGACTGTAGACAATAGTATGACTTAGGAACCTTTAAGGCTATTTGGCAGTTCAATGGTAGGATGCTCACTACCCAATCAGCAGGTCCGGGTTCGACATCCGGCTGACACACTCCAGAAACTCACCTAGCTGATTTTAAGGTTGGAAAAGAGGAGAAGTTCGGAGTGAAGCTACCTACCGCAACCCTAAAAACAACATCACTGCTACTAAAACTTTAAAGCTTGAAGCTCTGCTTTCCACTTGGAACACAACGAATGAAGAAAACATTTATTGGTTAGTCTGATTTTAATGTTAGATTAGCATGTATCGGACTTTATTCAACCGTAATCACGGTCTAATAACTCTGATGTTAGTTTCATATGGCCTTCATTACTTTGAAGTTTATCTCTGTGCTGAAGTTAAATTCAAATGTTCCGAATAGTTCGGCTATGCGGAGTGAACTTCAAGTACATCATTAGGCGGCCTGCTTGAATCACTTGGCTACTCAAGTTGCCTTCCATCAAAATGCTCAATTTTATCTGAACTTATCATTGTTTTAATCGTCCAGTTATATTAAATGACCTATACAAGAATTTGCGCGCTGATTTTACTTGCTGTGCAATTCTTCAACGAAATGAGGATATACTTCTGATTATTACTTTACATGTAAATCCTGTATGAAGAAAAAAGTATTTTGGAACTAAATACACCTAAAACGTTTGTACCACATGTTCGCATATTGTCTGAAACAAAGCTTTATTATCATTGAAAATAAAATTACTCAAAAAAGTTGAAAAGCTGCCACCTTGTTTATAAATCACTTAAATTAAGTTAACTTGATTCTTGAATCATTATAATTGTCTTGAGAATACTCTTATTGTTCAACAGAAGGCTTAATTAATAGTTTGAAGACTATCTTATGGATGATTTTCGTATTCTACATCAGACATGAATTTATTATTTTTATTATTGTATATTAATAACACCAAAGTAAATCTCTTGACATAGGTTAAAAAGTAATTGAAAACTATGAAGCACTTTCCAGGTGTTACTCCTAGTCTGAGATTCTTCAGTTGTGGAAACCAGCATGGTCTTGTAAGAAATTAACCTCAAAACTACCAGGCTATGGGGAAAACGACGTAGCATTTACATTGCTATCCTTATGAAATCATTTGTCACGGGGAGTTTCTTTATAATAGTATATATATTTTTCGACATTATACAGTTTGCGTTTTTGATATCAAACCATACAAATTCTTTTTATTTTCGCCGACCATGCGCATGGTCTGGGGTTCGACTCCTGGCCGACGCATTCCTAATATCATCGGTGGGCTTGCTAAATTTGGGCTACCGATATCACATGCTGAAAATTCATTACTTGTACCAAAATACTTGATGGAATCAAGCTATAATAAAAAATTGTAAAAAATTAGATTATTACTTAATAATAAAATACTTGTTGACAGATCCCTATTAAGTGAACCGAATGATATTAGAAGAATATTTCGTTACAGTATGAATGAATCAATAATACAGATTGTACGTAGTCGCAGGGATCTGATGAAATAATTCACTTCATGTTATATCACTTGAATGTTTACGCTAATTCCATTCAAACCCTATTATACTTTTCGTACATAAATTCGTGTGAACATAAGGAAACGCACTGCGGGAAGCTTCAGGTTCACCACTTAATTCTGTTGACAAGTGTTCTTCCGTAAAAAAGTGTGTTTCAAAACAGGAAAGCTATACTAACTGTTACTAGAAACCATCCTAAAACAGGCTGAACAATTTTTACTTACCAGTATGACGCAATTAGGGTAAGTGCATTTATGTGAAATCTTATCTTATCTGTATCATCTGAGGTATATACATTTACGTATTTATCCGCCTATATAAATTCACATCATTTTGCTGCTAACAGTAATTTTTCTTTCCATCCATAACTTTTGACTACTAGATTTCGATTAATACACTTAAGGAAAAGGTTAATGATTTATATTATATATATATATATATATATATATATATGATGAAAACTTTGAAGATTATCTTATTTTCTTATGTATCTATCATTCATTTTTCATTAGTGCTAACTGTCAAGTTTCGTTCTATAATACCTACAGACAGTAGCAAGATGATGTGGATAATGTTTCATCTGTTACAGATTTATACACTTTTATGTATAGAGAAAAGTTGTGCTGGAGTGGCTGATGTGCATAGGTACTTGACTATCAGTCTGTGATTGTTGAGGCTCATCTTGTACTCCACCTTTCTTGTACCATTTGTGATTTATAGTTTGCTGCCTAGAAATATCTTCCTACTAAGTTACACTATTTTTTAGTGGATGGTTAATAAACTAAGCAGTAATTTCTGAAATCAATATTTATGTTAACACAATACCATAAGCACCTTGATAAAATAAATTGAAGTAAACAGAAATGAAGAAAAAAAATAAAAATCCTTGATTTCATAAAATTAAAAAGTGAAAGACAAACACAGTTGTATAAAAAATTTTGATTAGTTATTATCCACACCTTGTCTGGGAGATAAGTTATACATGCATAAAGTACACTCAGGTCATACTAATGACAATAAAACTAACTTTTTATTGGTTGTTTCTACTTACCAGCAGGTGTACAAAACATCAATCGAGTTCTTAATGGATTTATTCTGTGAATGAAACTGATTTTCACATTTCCCTTGGTTTTTTAACAGCTTAACAAAATGTGTCAACTACTTTCTGGACGTCATGTACCTAGTATGACAAGTCGCTGGTTACGTCATAGTTCTAGTGTGGAATCATCTGTATCAGCGTTGTCGGCAATCAGTATGAGCCCGTCTTTAAATCCAAGTTTAGTGCTGCATAACGAGATAACTGCAACCAATGGAAAAACGAATACTAATCCATCACCAGTTAGATCACATACTCAAAATTCATCTTCCATTATAACAAATTCATTAGATTTACCTACCAAAGCAACAACATCATATTCGCAACCAGTACTAGAATCTAAATCACAAAATTCTGACTCTGCTTATAATTCCTTGGAATCTGATTCCGGCATTGTTAAATCAAACTATTCTTCGAGTTTCATTGATTCAACTAAATCATTTTACGCTTATCAAGCTGGTCAACCTATTGAACAGGTCAGTTTTTCTTTTAACTCATATATTTTACTTCGGATTTACAGTGTTTTTACCCTTTGAAATTTTTCATTGTTGCAATCCATATCCATAAACGGCACAAAATCGCTTGAAATGATACACTGAATTGTTTTTATATTCATTTTAATGACCATTATGTGTAGTAAGTTGAACAGATTTCCACCATAACTTGGAATAAGCATAAGAAATTTTGACCAGATCCTCATGTTTTGCATTTCTAAGCGTTTTCATGACCAAGACTTAGATTCTTAAAATAATCAATCCTTAGTTTACCATAGTAAGTCGTACAATTGTCTTTAAATGGCATAATTTTTAATATATCGAACGTTATTCAATAGCTCACCGTGATTTTCCCACCTTTTTGTTATTTGTCGTTAACTATAACAAATAACTTTCTAAAGCATGTCATGGTAACAAAAAATTTTTTAAACAGAAAATCGAGTTGTAGACTGGAAGAAACATGATGGTTCTTATTTACAACATGCTCTAGAAACAAGGTGATCATTAACCTTGAATTGTTTGCCGCTAATATATTGTATGAATGTTTATTAATTTTGAAGTAAACAACAGGGTACTTATTCCTTATAAAGTAGTTTGTACGCTCAATGGGATCTTACTTACAAATCACATTCTTCCAGTTTTTTATCAAAAAAAATGTCTAGAAATTTCAAACAGTTCAATGTTGTAAATATATCAGATGACAATTTTCAAAGATGATGTTTACCGTGGATCCGATAAACCATCTCCCAGAAATGGTCAGAAATAAAACAATGAGTTAGATAATGAAATTGACAGATTATAGAATACCAATAACTTAGCAATAAAGTCATTGACTTTGAAACTGAAGGTAACTGGAATCCCAGAGGCAAACTGAGCCTCAATAATACCTTGCCGATAATTCCATTATGGATAAAATTTTATTTTAATAGAGTCATACAATGTTATTCAGTAATATTTACTGATGACCATGTTTAGAGTACAATTTACTGCTCATGATCATATCAAGGTACTCACATAACTTTCTTGCTCCGTTTAGACATTTGAATAAAACCAATATAAAATTTATGTGAAACAGAGGGAAGGATACCCAAATTACTTTTTAAAATTTTGACTCTGTTCCACCTACCTTATTGTGTGGTTGTGTGCTAATGCATGCAGTGCGATAGGGTCATTCATTCTAACCTTAGCCAAATTCTTATGTTCTTATAATCTCACTACTCATGATCTACTAGTTTGACCTATGTAATTGACCCCACAATCATTGCAAGGTGTTTTGTAAGTTATATTATTTTGTTTAATTGGGTCAACTTGGTCCTTTAGCCTACAGAGCTTTACTCTGAGTGAGTTTGTATGTCTTCTTAATTTTCATCATATTATATTTATTGATAGCACTAATAATGGTTCGGAATGTACTTTATCTTCTTTTCTGTTTCACGCATGTCTGAAATTCATATTTTTGGTTGGAGGATTTCATTATGAGCTGATATCAGTTATAGAACTATTGAAAAACCTTGGAGTACTGGACAGCCGCTTCGTCCTAGTTGGGGACCTTCTGGTTACGAGGCGAGGTCGTAGACCATTAAGCCACTCACTGGGACCCAAACCAATGGCCCATGAATTCTAACTTCTGCTAATTCACGACATAGCGCGACCACTTCGCAATGTCTTCTTCGATGAGTTACTACCTTACTTTCACCCTGCCGCACCCTACTGGTCACACCTTCCCACTAGAACCCCAGGTCACTGTCTGAATAGGGCAGATTTTATTCAAATGTCTAATCAGTTTTCACTCATGTATGTAAATGAAGCAAGAAAGTGATATGAGAGTACCTTGATATGATTATCAGCAATAAATTGTGCTCGAGACATAGTCATAAGTAAATATTACTGTATAACACTGTGATTTTATCAAAATAAAATTTTATCCATAAAGGAATTATGCTCTACCACAGTGCTTAATTTTTATCCTTATACCTTGCTGATAAGTTAATAATATTGTAGATGACATGATACGTCGCGTTCTGTTGATCCCTCCTAACAACTGACACTTAAACAATTAGTTCTATGGTGTATGCCTAACTTAGCTTTAGCCACCATATTGTACACATAATCAACAGATTGTGATTAACACCCATACAGTTAAACAGCGAAGAGCTGGTTACCATCCTGAGGCTGATGCGCATCGTTTTACTAATGTTTCCCTACTGATAATTATTCAAGATAATTTCATGTACATACCTAAGAAATGACTGCAAACATCCCCCATTTAAACATTTAGAAGACAAAACACGGGAAATTAATATGCTATTCGATAACTTCCTAATCAACTTCTGAATTTATAAACGCATAACATTTAAAGAGTAACTGCTTTTTAAAACACTGATGTCTCCCAGCAACATTGAATCATAGTTCGAAAACATATGCATGAATTATATATATATATATATATACATAATGACCAAGCAGAAAATTAATTCAATAATTAAAGATAGTTAATACATTAATAATTCAGCTACTTCAGATAGATTCTGATGGCTTCAGCTTTATATGGAAGACGAACTCATCAGGCGCAATCAGTCAGAATACAGTAGATAACTTCAGACATCCTGTTAATGTCAACCTTATGTTCAATGTCGACAAGATGAAATTGAACAGAGCTACGAAAAGTTTTTGTTTGTTTAGAAAAGGCTTCAGCAGTAGATAATAGCGGATAACTATTTAGACTCATCAGGAAAACGAATTGTAAAATACCCATGGTGGCTGAAACGATTTGCTAGGACGTCGGCATTTTAACTGCTTATCATGCCGGACAAATAGAATGTTGTAGGGAGTGATCAAACTTGTTTACAGCCAGGCTTAAATTCGCCCAGCACCTGCAACAGCTGCACTAAATCTATGACGAAACACTGGGAGATGATGGGATGACTGCTGAGGTATTTAAGGATGGCACTGATGAACAGTTCACCGCTTTATTTAAAATATAGGTAATTTATAGAAACCTGAGGCTGTCTAGTTGGCTGGTGCAAGTAATTGATTGTCCTGTTATGTTTGCTAGCAGATAAACACAATTGACAGCGTCTGCAATTCTACTTTCCATAACCTACATGGATCGATCCATTCCTTTTCTTGCCGAGCATTGTCCAGTGACATAGGTGATATGGTTCAAGATAGTTCAACATATTTATTCTTTGTAATTTTCTGGATACATTAATTTCCCATTATTACGCGTGTAACTATTCTTTTAGCCGTACATCTTAAGTTATTATAGTTTCCTTACATTTTTGTCTACTCTTACATGTACTTTTATGAAGCGTGGCAACTTGAACCGCTGAACTCTGGTACATAGTTCTACACTGAAAAGTCTTCTTAATTACAGCGTGGATAGATTTTAGAAATCATATGTCATTGTGTTCAAAACGATGCAGTGGCAAAATAATAACCTTCTCGTCCTAAGGTCTGTCAGCTTTGAACTTGATGCCTCATGGCTTCCCACTGTAAAACACAAACAACTCGTCTGGTGCTCCGTGATTTTTGACTGGCTTTTACCATTAAATTTAAATGTTTATATGAGGTAGTCTCTGTTAATTTATGAAAAATTTAACCGCAAATTGTGGGGGAAATTCCTATTCGCCTTATTTCAGCAGTGAAAGTTTTATATGGTGAATATTCTTCCGAAATTTAATCATTACAAATACATGAATAGGGACATTTTAGAAATATTTGTTACATTATTTTTCTTATTAAGAGTATCCTTATCCAGATAATCACCGTCATTTCCATAGTCTGTAAAATACTGCCTGTAATATATGTTGATTCAGCTTTTACCATATACACGTCGTTATTTACCAATACCAATTTCTAGATAAACATAATGAATATTGATCAAGTAAGTAAAGATGTAATAGCGTTATGAGTGCATACTTAGTACTGTTCGCATTGTTGAAGCACCTAGTAAGTACGCCGGGTTGCTGACATCTGGGTATGCAACACAATACATGGTACAATCAGTTATTCCTCAAGAATTATTTCCATATGTATTTCTTGAAAATTCCACTTTATCTGCTTAGTACACTCAAGATTATTAAATTATTTAAAGTGTATACCAAATCACAAGGAATGTTACAGTAAATTTGTGGTAAACACATAGGTCAAGACCCTACTCTTCTTCGCAAACAGTCACTTTAACCCCCTTCTTACTACACGACAGTTTGCAATAACTTCAATATATTTCTGGAGAATGTTGAATAACCTCTGCTTAACTCTGTTGAATGCAATATCTGTTATCACTTGAAATGTAATTCACAGTTGTTGGAATAAGATATTATGAATATTAAAGTAGTCTAGAACCAACCCACTTGCGCTACGGTTTTGTAAAGCCTGTCAAATCAACTGAGCTACTCTGTTGTCTAGGTATATGAATAGAAAGGTATGCGATTCGGGAACCATATGCATATTTTTGCATCAGACAGAAAATCATATTTATTTGTGTGATCATAATGTCTGGTTGTCGAGGCGTTTCATAGGTAGAATACATCTCGATTTCGTGACTTATCAGCCGAATATTGAGTACCTGAAACTATGAATTATTACTAACTAGGCTGACACATTGACTGATGGCATCCGGCATGTTGCTGGTATCTACCGAAATTCTAGCTTGAACAGACCAGCAGCGTGCTCGATACTGACAGTTTATCCTGTCAATTAAACTTTCTTTCACTGTTCAAAACACTGGACTTGTCTGATCTATTTCTTTTTTTCCAAATATAAATAAAACGTATTCAATTTGTCCCTTTTATGTGGTGAATTAATTCTGTTCTGTACTGTCCTCCTTGTCAAACACTTCTCATTTTTATCTATGTTCATTTTTCTTATTTCATCCATATTTTAATCACAGTGTTAAGTCGAAAATTCAGATAACCGTAAGTGAAAATGAATTGTTATTATTAAATGGTTGAAGGCAATTGGCAGGAAACCTTGGACCTAATTTCCTGGTTTGTTGACACTCATCTTCATCTTGAAGGGACTCAGGTGTCACCTGAGACCCAGGGCTGCAGTTGGAGACGTAGCCAATGAGCTATTCGAGCTCGAGACTGACTTTCTGTTGGACTGTATTAGATACTTTGAATGGACACTAGTTAGTAACTAGTCTCATGCGTCTAGTCTTTTGTCTGGTACAGACTGAACTCTACTCTGTTCTTGTTATTCCCCTCCCACTTAAATAATGTAAATAAAAATTAAAGAAACAGCCCGTATCAGTGCAGTTTTTGATCACTTTATTTGTCCGTCTTATGAGGTAATAGAAGCCCAAAACTGGGTCACAGTATATGTAACCACTAAAAGTACTGCGCTTTCATATTGCATCAGTTTATAAATAATTTAGGCTTGTTATGAAATAAACCAATCTGTGACTGCTTTTTTTAAAACTATTCATCTGTGTAGAATCCATGTTTATATTTTATCTAACAACTGATGTCCTAATATTTGTAGCTTCAAGCGCAGCTCCGATGGGTTCAACGACAGTTGGAAGAGTCATCTAATTCTAAAAATGCAGTTGGATCACCGACAGCAAATAATCTGAGGCTAGCTAAATTACGCAGTGAATTTTGCATCTTACTTAGACATTTAAAACAACGTTGTAGTCAAGGGGAACTGGGAATAGATTCTTCTCTGCATGATTTGAATGAATTTAAAGATATGTCTTGCGAATCAAAGCTGAATTGTGTTTCTGTATCTAAGTCAAACATGTCATCGCCGACAAAATGTTCACAGACCACATCAGGATATCCTTGTCTTACTGGGCAATTCATTGCAAATCCATTCAAAACCGAACAAAACTTTGCAAGTAAACGTTCTATGACCACTGGAGATTTCGATGAAGTACGTTTAATTTCAAGTTACTTTATTATAACCAAAAATCCACACTATTTTATAAATCAAATACTCTATATTCTAAAATGCATTAACTTTTAGTTCAGAAAGCATAGCAGGATATTCTCCAACCGGAATTAATTTTTCCGTGGCTTGAACTTGTAGCTGGTTACGCATATATATATATATATATATATATATATATATATATGTCCATTGTCTGGATAGTAGTTGGGCTCACAAGCAAACTGGACTCATGGTCCTAGACTCCTTCAACCCATCCTGTAAACTTTCCTGTCCTTCCTCTTCTTTCTGTTTTCCTAGTGAAATAGTAACTTATTAGTGATGACAGCCAGATATTCACGGTTGCATAGATTTGATCACTTTAATGTAAATTTTTACGACTCTTCTGTAAAAGACAAAACAAGTATCTCAATGGTCACTCAAAAACGTAAAAACCAAGGACTCTTCGAGAAAACAACTGTCAGCCAAGAGTCGTCGCTCGTATCCCATGGCTGTGCCCCATATTTCCGAAGAAAAACCTCTCTAGCCACTACCTACGTAATATAACTACATTAACTATTTTACATTTGGCAGAAAAATTAGTGTCACTGTGCAAGATTGATTAATAATGACCGCAGCATCAGACAAAATAAACCCACAAGAATAATGCCATCGAACTAGATATCCTCGTACAGATAGATTTTTAATATAGGTCGACAACGCTGCTGGTTAATAAGTACTACTGCTTATCGATGATAGCAGGTATCTCCGCACATGTAGACTAATGAATAATCTGGATAACAATTCTATAGTGATTAAGTGAGGCCTATACAGAATTCTCAAAACATTAATTAGCGATGGCATTAGGCACAAGCTGTAAAAGATGGCCATGAGACTTCCCACAAAACATAAAATGACTACTTCCAGAAACACATAGTGACTTATATATACCAGGATATTTGAAGTGTAATCAAACGCTTATGAAACAAAGCTAAAAGAATGGCTAGTAGACTGCACAAATTAATAAATTCAACAATGGCAATAACTCCAAGCATGGAAAACCCTATATCTTATAAATAAATGCTAAATGAAATGGATAGATAGAACCATTCAGAATCTTATCTAATAATGCAATTCACAAAATCTCTAAATCCAGTCATACTACTGGAAATGTTGTTGCTCACACGCGGGTTAATATCACAATTCTTTCCTTTGTATACATTCCAGGACCCGGACTTTTATATCACTGGGCAACAGGAAGTTGATGACTTCGAGGAATTGGACCCGAGCGACTCCGAATTCGACTTAAAAGTTTCGGATGTATTGCCTGATAAGACATTTACAACTACTCATACAACAAATGAAGTTGAAGGCATGATAAATTATGATAAGCCTAGCGCAGTTGTTGATCATGCCGAAGATCTACATAAAAAGCAAAAGCATCATTGGAAAGGGACATCTGGACGCTGCAGACCAAAGATAGCAACGGAAGTGGCCAGTTTGAACATAATGCCTAGTCGACGTGGTTCATTGGTGGCACACTCAGCTGTCGAAGGATATTCTAAGAACAAGGGCTTATTGGCTCAACTTGTGAACACTGTAACCAAGGTGTCTTATCCAAAAGTGACAAGGGAAGTAATATAAGTCAGCTGACAGGTAAGCATAAGTGAATACACTCATTTTTAAAAAGTGCACACTAGATACCAAAAATAGTCACTCCTAAGCCCATTATTGGAAATAAAACTTAAAGTATCCCGAGGACCCCAACCACGAAATCTACACCTTCCTACGTGGCTGGCTTAAACAAACTGTTGTGCATTTCATTGACTGGTGCCATGTTTTGGTTTGATCACCGCTAGCGTTTCTCCAGCCTGACCCTATGTCAGCTAACATTGCCCGTCAAAGAAGGCGATGGCTAGGCATACATAACCCATGTCCTAACCATCTCAGTCGATGTAGCTTCACAGCCTCGTCGATTGATTTCTCTTTTTTTACCTAGCACTCGATGCCTTACCTCAATATTGCTCAGTCTACTATAGCAATTCACACGACGGATAAAACGCAGACATCTTTGATCAAAGACAGCTAATTCAGCTTTGTCATGTCCTCCACACTCAATGGCCATGTCTCACAGCCATAAAGGAGGACGGAGCGGACTGCTGAGCAGTACACTCACCCTTTGGTCGATAGCCAGCCAGATATGGCGTCTACGCCAGAGAAGGCGTAAACTTGCATGTGCGAAACGAGCCTTTCGTATCGTGCTGAGATTTCGTCGGCGATCAACCTGTTGGCACTGGCTGATGCAACTTTCCAAATAAGTGAAGTGGTCAACACGCTTTACCACTTCACTCCCTATTTCTAAGCTAAGAGTCGGTGTAGTCCAGTCCTGTAGCATCATCTTACATTTGGTGGGAGCGAATCGCATGTCAAACATTGGCAGAAGATTGCTTTTCGTCAGCGTCTCCGCCTAGAAGGTCGATACCATCTGCATATTCTAAGTGAACGAGATTATTCCCTGGTAACAAGTCAATGCCTAAGTAGGTTGAGGGCATGCAACCAACTGTCACCACCGTCCCAACCAACAGTGGTGTCAAACAGGGTTGACTAATCTTCCGACAAACGTCAACATGACCTACCTCTAGCGCCGTCAGTCTAGATATCGAAGGTCGGGTCTACAACTCTGAGGTCCGCAAAGTTCAGCTATACTCCTGTCGAACCTGGCCTATCGGAGCAGATTTCCGGCAACTCCACGTATTCGCCCAATGAAGTCTCCGTAGAATTGCTGGCGTTGGACAGTATCATCGGGTGTAATTCTGAGGTTCGGTAGCGTGTGTTTGGACACAATGGAGACCAGCACTCACCAAGTATCGTTATCTGGGAACACCAGCTTCGACAGCTTGGACGCATCTCAAATACTAAACATCCTGAATAGTGCTCATTTTAATATAAAGTTTACAATGGAGTGTGAAGAGGAGGACACTGAACCTTAGCATCGGACGTGATAAAGATAGTGAAATCGTAAGGTACCTCTATAAAAGGGAGACCTGGAGGGTGATTTACCTGAACTTCAACAGCTTTTGCCTTATAAGTTACAAAATGGGGTTGGTGAGAACACTGTCTGATCGCGTAAGGAAGCTTTGTTCAGAAGAAAAAGTCAAAGGAGAACTATCCACTATTGAAAAATGTCTGCGTGATAATGGTTACCTACAGAAGTTCTTTGACAAACATAGAAAACGTATTGTCAGCAAGTTGAAATCCAACACGTGAGATAAGTATAAAACTTGGGCACTGTGGTACAGTATAACTCCTTTATGGATAAGATTTTATTTTGATAAATCACACAGTGTTGTACAGTAATATTAACTGATGACGTTTCGAGCACAAATTATTGCTCGTAAGCGTATCAAGTGACTCACACGACGTTTTGCTTCCTTTCGAAGCAAAAAGTTATTATCCATAGTGGAGTTACACGTTGTGACGCCTTTTATAACCAATAAAACACTGGATTTCTCCAAAATACAGTACTACATTAAACATGAAATGTTATGTAAAAACCTCAACTTTGAGGTGGCTGTGGCTGAATGCCGTCAAGGAGCACAGTGAACGTGCGTCAATAAGTTAAACACACAACTTTTATTGGGGCTAACCACCTGTAATCCCAATCGTCAAGCACGCGGTACTTGTGTGATCACCCTGCTAACATGCGCTCTGCTCTCTGTTTCACAATCCATTGTAAACTTTACATTAGGATGAGCACTATTCAGGATGTTTAATATTTGAGATGCGTCATTAAAACAATCACGAACGACAAACAAGTCATCGAAAAACCTGGTACAGAAGTCTGTCTGATCGATTGCGGTCTTCATTCTTGTTAGTTTTAGGTTGCCAACGTTGGTCTTGTTAAATGTGGTTGCTTTGTTTTTGAACGAAGTCCTTTATTCACCCTCTCCCTATTTTCTTGATATAGTGTTGCTTTATTATTATTGTGTGGCTCATCTTCTCGGTATTGTATTGTGCCAAACTTTCGACTGATTTGTAGATAATAAATCACTATCATATACAGATTAAATCAATCATAGTTTATTGGTTCTTAAAAGTTTCCATGTGATAGTTATTTGAAGGAAATTCAGTCTTCTGGATAATAATAGTGATGCGTCTATACCTATCAAATACAATTTTGCTTTATACACTTACAGGTACACATGGTTCACTAACAATCATATCCTGAAGCGCCATACTGCAAGAAAGGTCAGAGAGATATCACTAAAAACTATATTTTAAAGTGATATCGATTGTACATAATACCTTTGAAAACAGATTCTATGGATGTATAGTTACGCAATTCAACCAGATATGTACTCCTCTTTTCAAGTTCGAGCTTAATTAGAATTCATAAATAATATAAATCATTTATACAAAGTCTTTATTTTTAAAATGGGTAGTCTGGGATGTTCAAAAGTATGCATATATTGTCCATATATATTAGAAGCGCATTCGTGGACCGCGACCACAACCCCGAGGACCTCCACGCCTACGACCACGAACAAGACCTCGACCACGGCGGCGAATGACAGAAATCTCTGGAAACAAACATATATAACATGCTAAGTGAGACGGGGCACGAAGAATAAAAACAGCACATTGATTTCAATGGTAAGATTACCACTATTCAACTTCAACACCTGTGCACGTGTGTATACCAAGTCATTATCTACACTCCCAAGTTAAGCTGATAGTTGATCTAATTAAGATAATTAATTCTATAAGCTACATCTTTATCCTTAGTAAGAAACAAACTAAATGTACAGTTTACACTGCGCGGAAACAACTTGAATCACTTACAACCCGAACTACCAAATCATTGTTTTCAGTAAGATAGCAAAAACCTTAATTTATAATCACAAAGAATTCACCAGGAAAAAATAACCTACCTAGGTTACCTTTCCGTCAGTGAGAAGCGTGTTCAAGGGAAGACTTTCTGGGAGGATGAAATACCGTATATTGTTTCCATGGACAATTTAATGTATCTAAGTGTATTGCATCCCGATCCTTAAGCGTCAATGTTACGGACCGCAAGTGCGTGTTCATAGACACATCAACTCCAGCAATACTTCCATGAACTTGGGTACCATTTTCTAGTTTTATGGTCAAAGTCTCATGGGTTAGTTTCATAAGAAACCTGAAATACTTTTAGTAAAATTAAAAATATACTACATGCGCATCCAAAAAATTGTGGTTATTCATAATAACACAGTTACCACAAGACAGTTCTGGCTACAAACCATTTTTAACATAGCACTTTTGATTGTGTCCTGTTACCTTTGTCTTGATCACTTTGCCTTTATAAAACCATAAAGGCCATACTAACGCGCGAACTCTCACCGAAATTACAGTAGTGCAGGTCATAACTGCATTTAATTCGTCCTCCTCAAGTATACGTGACTAGTTCTGATATTACACACTAATGAGTTCTATGTTGAGTCAGAGTGAACAAGCAGACTACAAACAATAAGTCTTGCGAAGCCATGTAAACAACACTACAAAATGAACGACATGCAAAGTCTTCAAACTGCTGAACAAACTCGAATTAGACGCCGAATTACGAAAAATCCTGAGAGTACCTTGTAGTCATTTATACCGTCTACGCGAATTGTGCGTGTTGAATTCATACGAATGACGCATACTTGCTTTTTGTAAAAGTAGAGTAAGTGGGCGCAGGCATTAATTTTGTAAATGAAAACCAAGCATCAGCTGAACACTTGTATATTCTAAAGACCCGTGTACTGACATAGGATGGGACGATCGGAAGTCTAAATATCTGTTTGAGTGTGTGGGTTTCCTGTAAACACTAGTGTTTACCTTCCCATCTTCTTTCCTCTTTACGTTGCAATCTAGGATTGGTGAAATGTTTAAATGACAGAGCACAAAAACTAAGTAGTACCAAAGAAAATCTAAAACAGGAACTGATACACATAAAAGAAGCTTTGAAACTTAATAATTACCCGGATAAATTAATCAAGAAATATGTAAGGAAATGTAAAAATAAAATAAATAATGATAGTAGCGATAGTGATAATAATATTAATGACGACACCAATAATAAGAAATCTAAATCATCAGTAGTAATTCCATACAAGGAAGGAACCTCGGAAGCCATACGCAGAATTGTTAACAAGGCAGGAATAAAAATGGCATTCAAACCCACAAACTTAATTAGAAACAAGCTTTGTCGGTTAAAGGATCCTGTAGAGCCCTTAAAACAAAACAATTTAGTTTATCTCATACCCTGTAATGATTGTCAGGTCAAATACATAGGTCAAACTAGTAGAACAGGAGCAGTCAGACTAGCTGAACACAAAAACCTAGCAAAATCTCGATTGGTTGACCCGAATAAAATAAGAAATCTAGAGAATAGTTCAGCTATAGCACTACATGCAGTCACACACAACCATACAATAGGATGGGATAGGATGACAGTTTTAAAATCTAATGTCACAGGGTATAGGGAGAGATTGATAACAGAAGCTTTGTTTATCGAATCAACTACAAATACATGTAATAGGAATGATTCATCACCTGTCCCCGATATTTGGAAAATTCTACTACCCAAACGACAAATAGGAGAGAACAAAGAAAACTATAAAACTCAAGTGTCAAAGTCGTGTGATTATAATTGATATGATTATGAACAATAAATTTTGTTCGAAACGTCATCCAGTAAATAATACTGTTTCACTGTGTGATATATCAAATAAACAAACTAATATGGAATTACTTACTACCACAGTGCCCAAGTTTTACACATATATTAACAAGTAGTCAGTCCTCATCTAATGAGAGTCATTATAGACAGTGTTAAAGGGAACACCACACCTACGATATCTGGAATGACTAATTGGCCACAGGAATAAAGACTTAACGGTTTGAATCTCTTCTCATCACACTGCACTGGTGCGTCGGTGGCACAGTGGTTAGGACACTCGCCGACCATGCACATGGTCAGGGGTTTGATCCCCAACCGACGCACTCCTTTACCTCGCCAAACCAGTAATAAAAAGTCGGTAAAGAGGAAAGGTTGGGCATGACGCTAGCAACCTCATCCTGTAAAGATAAACACTGCTACAGAAACTTGAAGCCCTATGTTCCACTGGGAACGTGAAGGAAAAAAAGGAAAGGAAAGGAGATCTCATCATTATTCTAGAAAGTGACTACAAACTTGACCTATCACTTTTGTTTCCAACCACCACGTCCAAACAGTTAAGTTCAAAAGCATAGGAACCACATCGCTGTGTAGCGGTGGTTCACCGGCCGAGCCCCTAACTTTTGCAGCTAACTTCCAGGAAATCAGTTTCAGCAGAAGCAGTACGATACACCACGATCAATATTGATATAAGTATAGAACTTGGGCACTGTGGTAGAGCATAACTCCATTATGGATAAGATTTTATTTTGATAAATCACACAGTGTTGTACAGTAATATTAACTGATGACGTTTCGAGCATAAACTATTGCTCGTAATCATATCAAGTCTGAAACGTCATCAGTTAATATTACTGTACAACACTGTGTGATTTATCAAAATAAAATCTTATCCATAATGGACTATGATCAATAGCCAAACTATCGGTAGTTAGTGTAGGAAGTAAAAGTATGTGTTATCCTTAAAGCTTTGATTTCTGGCAACCAACCGATAGCTGCTACCTTGACGTGGTGGTTGGGCTTGGACATCGAAATGACCCAACAAGCTACACTGGCTGGAACTATTGTTCCTGCGGGTCATACCATGCCAGGAAGGTTGTTAGGATAGCGATTAGACTAAAACCAGTTACTGGCTTAGTGTAAGAATTCTTTTTACACTATGCTGGTGGTCTATTGAAGAATTTGTACTGCTGGGGAACAGGGATGTAAGAGCAGTAAGGTGTTTCCCTCAGATGACCAGTATGTCAGCTCTGCTGTCTCTCCACTACAGAGAGAAGGGGTTAGAAAAGGTCGACCCCAACAATTGTACATCTCGACTTTCCCTATGGTGCTCCGTAACCGGCTGTAGGTTTACTAATACGGAACCAGTCCAAGAAATCAGTTCATACAGGCCGTGTGCGACTGGCCTCAAACAGTTGTCCCCTGGGCTCTGTGGTCACACAACACTAACCCTCTACCTATTTCAGTTACCCGAAGAATTAACCAACTTCCACGGTATGGGCAGCTGGGAAGTAACAACCGCACACACACTTCCAAGAGCATACGAAGCCTCCCCGAGCATTATTCTCCTTTAACCTCATCACCATCATCTTACTCCCCTACTGCAGTTAGTACTATTCTTCAGGCTAGTGAGGCATCTTCACTTCACTCTGTGACCACAAACAACGGTGAGAGTCATAGAAACACCCCAGATAGCCTTTTAAAACCACGTCGCCAACTTCATATAGGAGCACTTAACGTCAGGACCCTCTGCCAAATCGGACAACAGGCATCACTACCAAAAACTCTGTTATGTCGAGCCATGGATTTATGTTGTGTTTCGGAGACACTCAAACAAGACCCGAGTGTGGTCATTTACTCAACCTCACCCGGCCAACAAGGTGAGTTTGCAAAATTCACTTTAAGGGTGTCAGGAGACCCCTCATCCAGTTCGCGAGGACTCGCAGGTGTAGGGATAGCATTGAGTGTTAGGGCAGAAAAATCTCTTCATGACTGGATCCCAGTAGACAGTCGTATGTGTGCGGCCCGTCTGAACCGGTTCATTAGAAGAAGGAAGAACGACGTTACCCATCGTTGTCTTTTCGTAGTCTCCGCTTACGCCCTCAACAGACTGCAGTTCGGATGAGCTAATGAATGACTTCTACCTGAAACTATCTAATTTGCTTCAAAAAGCAAAACGTTCAGCTATAGTTGTCTTAGCAGGCAACTTTAATGCCCAAGCAGGGAAGTTGAGCAGGACTTAGAAGTATGTAGGTGGCATGTATGGAGTTCCCTGCCGACGAACCGACAACGGCGATCGTCTTCTACAGTTCTGCTCAGATAATCATCTGTTTCTGGTCAGCACTAACTTTAGACGTAAAGAGAGACACTAAGTAACCTGGCGACCTCCATCACCAAATCAACGCTGGACTCAGATAGACCACAGAGCGATAGGGTATCGTTGGCGAGGGTTAGTAGAAGACTGCCGCTCCTTCTAGAATACGTGTGTAGACATATTGATGACGCCTGTCAACTGGACTCACTCTTGTGCATAAAGTGAGAATGTATTATTATAAGATACATTTTATTGTAATATGAGGGAATTGACTTCAAGCTTTATATATTTTCCCAAGTATCTGTAATCCATCCAACACATACTTAAGTTTTTTTTGGTAATGCGAGGTCAATATCTCTATATTTTTTGATGTGGTCCATTGAATAACTAGTTATTAG